TGAACACTTGCGACGACCAGTCGCAAGACTTCCGTTAGGGTACGGAATAAGAACGTCAGAGTTTTTGGCAAAAGTAGAAGACGACGTGCAAGAGTATATAGAGAGCATGTCGACGCTCAGCGAGGACGAGCGTAAAGCTGAAGAAGCTTACCAGAAGGCAAGAAAAGAAATGGACAAGTATGAACAAGAACTCAAGAAGGAGATGAGAGAAAAGCTCGAAGCAAGAATGAAAGAAGTTCGAGAACTTGAAGAAGAAGCAGTCGCAGCAAGAGGAGACATTGAGAAGACGAACAACGTGAAAAGTGCAATGGAGCAGCTAGGTCAAGTTGTGCAAGTGGCAGACAAGCTACTGTCAGCTCTAAGCGAAGAATTCACGTACCTAGATTTGTATAAAAGGCCAGATCCAGACAAGGAGAAAGAAAGACAGGCCTTAGCAAAGCTTATGACGATAGTCAAGAAGAAGTCTGAAAGTAATCCGTCAACACCGGCAGCAAAGATCAAAGCTATGCCGAAGAAAGCACCAAGCGTTATCAAAGAAGGAATGTCAATCTCTGAAGAGGAGAGAAAGGCAGCAAACACGAAGGATAAGCAGTTGGAGTTGAAGCGAAAGCTGAGAGAGCGTTGCAAAGAAGCATCAGAAGACATGATTGACAAGGCAGCAAGAGCAAAAGTTGATCATGCAAGAGACAAGCCAAGTGAGCCAGAAGGAACGCCGCCAAAGAAGCAAGTGAATCCGTATTGGCTCAAAGGCCAAGGAGACCAAAAGGAAGATTCGTACAAAAACGGAAGAAATCAGAACTGCTACTACTGCAAGCAGTCGCCAGACCACAGAGCGACAGAGTGTCCTCTGATGGAACAAGCAGTGCAGATGTATTACAGCGGGGACCGGCCCGAAGCAGGAAATACCGCTCACAAGATTTTCTGCGAGGTATGTTATATCTACTTCCAGAAGATGACCGGAAGGTCATTCAGATTTACTGGCTGGGGAACCCATACCCCAGACATCTGCAACTATAAGGACCAAGTGAGAAGCTATCTTTTGGACAATTCATACAAGTATGAAAGGGAATTGAAAGATTTCCAAGAGACATTGGGCATAGGATACAAGCCAAAAGAAACCTGGGGAGCAGAACCCAAGAAGCCCAAGAAAAGTGAAGATCCAAAGACTGAAGAGAAGACCGTGAAGAAGACAGAAGAAAAGGGTCCAAAGAAGAAGAAACCAGTTGAAAAGGCCAAGGACAAGGACAAAGAGAAGAAGTCTGACAAGGCTGAAAAGACAAAGAAGGTCGGAAAGGAGAAGAAGCGAAAAAGCGAATCTCCGTTCGATCAAGAAAGAGCTGAGAAACGCCAGCGGAATGAGCAAGAGCTTATGTGAACTGCGGCGACGGTTTAAAAGAGCAAAAGAGAGTGAGGGCGTTTACGAAATGCCCAGCAGAGGCAAAAGTGAGGCTGAAATCAGCCAAGGCAAAACGTTTCACAAAGAAAGCTTTAGAAGCTTGAGAGAATGGCTTTTCTAAGCTTCTACAACAAAAGGCCACGAGGATGGGAAGATCCCACGGCAACGACAAAGTCAAAAGCCACGTGGACGAAAGTCCCACGGCAACGTCAAGTCACTACGAGCACCACGATGAATTCAAAAGTCAATGTTCACAGAAAGGACTAAAGACAAAAGGCCGACAAAAGTTTCCAGATTGCCGAAGGGGGCAAGGATGGACTACCTCGCGTACCGCGACGTACAGAAAAGTGAGAGTGCAATGCATGTAGAGTGGAGTGAGTCCATGCCAAATGTGTGTGGAAAGCAATTCGCAAATCTGCTATAGGACATCAGAAGAGTGAGGATGAAGACAAAAGAAAGAAAAGGATAAAGATGTCCAACAAGTGCTTAAAGAAGCTTGTGAGAAGTGAAAGTGAAGATCAATGCTCCTGCGAGCATGCGAAATCGGAGTTAGAAGTAGCACAAGGATTAGGAAAAGTTTCACAAGATCGTATTACACGACAAAGCTGTGTATACGATGAGGGCGTAACAGAATGTTCAATTTTCCCTCATGCCCGATTTAGCGCACGTTTCACTGCGTATCTCCGTAGGTCAAACGTAGGCTCAAGACAGCCTGACAGCAGAGCGAGTAGTGTGAAAAGAATCCGAAGCTCGCGCCGTGCTAAGTGAAGGATACTGGTTTAAGGGTTTAAACTTTCACCTTCTCTGGATTGACCGGGGTGTCCTTGCCTTTCATCGAAACGGCGGCCTTTCCGCTGCCCTTCTCTGGATTGGCGACGGTGTCCTTGCCCTTTATCGAAACGGCCTTCCCGCTGCCCTTCTCTGGATTGGCGACGGTGTCCTTGCCCTTTATCGAAACGGCCTTTCCACTGCCCTTCTCCGGATTGGCGACGGTGTCCTTGCCCTTCATCGCAACGGTCTTTCCACTGCCCTTCTCCGGAGCAGCGACGGTGTCCTTGCCCTTGATCGACTTTGCCTTTCCACTGCCCTTCTCCGGAGTAGCCTTGCCCTTCATCGATTCGGCCTTTCCGGTTTCCTTGCCCTTTCCCTTGCCCGTCTGCTCCGGACCAGTGGTGGCATTCGTCCAACCAGATCGCCAGTCATCTGATCGGGACCACCAAGATCCCTCAGATTGCCATCCATGGTGATCTTCAAGGGCATTCTTCCCACGAGGCTGTCTGCCACGACCACGGCATGGTTCCGGCGAGCTACACTCGAGTCAAAACACCTGCGTATAGATTAAAGTCTGCTCGATCATGCATGAGTGCATGAACCTCTGACCAAACACGTGCAACTTGGCAATGTGCAGAATTTCTCTTGCTCGGCCCCGTCCGGAAGCTATGATCTATCGTGCTTGCCACAGTGCTGGAGATCGCCCGGCCGTTTCGAAATAACAACAGCAGAGTAGTATGAGTATATATTCAGTAGTTCGATAGTAGTATATGATAAAATATAAAAGAAGCATATATAGTATGCAATATACGCTGGCTCTTAATCGTACTAATAGTCTTGGTATATTACCTTAGATTATAAGTGGTAGTAGTAGTAGTAGTAGTAGTAGCAGTAGCAGTGGTAGTAGTAGTAGTAGTAGGAGTAGCAGTAGTAGTAGTAGTAGTAGTAGTAGTAGTAGTAGTAGTAGTAGTAGTAGTAGTAGTAGTAGTAGTAGTAGTAGTAGTAGTAGTAGTAGTAGTAGTAGTAGTACTAGTAGCAGTAGAATAATTACTATTTACTCGCCTAATACTCGCGCACATCCCTCGACACGCCACGGTAACACTCCAAATTCCAGCTAACGGCAATTATTTATTCTATTTTTATATATTTAGTTTAAACTCATACTGCGCCACGCCACGTCACGCCACGTCACGCCACACTGTCGTTTTGTGGCCGGTTAACCCTGCCACGCCACGCAACGCCACGGTCTAAGTTTTATAATTATAGATAAATATATATATATATATATATATATATATATATATTCTAATAGAATTCACACAGTGATGGCCGTGCCCCGTCTTACATCCAGCACTCCTTAAGCAAGTCACAAAAGGTCACCCAAAGCAGAGTCCGAGCTCTCGTATCCCTGGTCGACGAAGCAAAGGCCCCCGTCAGGCTGCGTGGTTCGCGGACCGCAGGGATCCATAGTCTTAGTCAGGAGTTCACCGACCTGGCATGGAGAACGGGTACCGATATCCCACCGAACTTTGGCACATGCCAAGCCCACCGCCAAACCAAGACCTGCCGGGTAGTGCTGGGTCTCGGTCAAGTCTGGCCCTCCGACCTCAATCGATTTAACTATATGATATCAGACCGACCGAATTATATACCCAGTATAAGCTCCAGACACATCTCGAGATCCCCCGCTTGTCCACAAACCGGCGCACGGTCTTAAGCTTAAGCCAGGATCGGATCCGCTTCAATTGAGACCTTAGCTAGCGTGGCATGGCGTGGCGTGGCGTGGCGTGGCGAAAGACTTTTAGCCTGAGATCGGGGCCTTCTCAAAGCTGTGTTTCTTTGCTGGCTCATGACCCCCAGCTCTGGTAGCATCGGGTGTGTGCCGCACAGAACCACATCTTTCTGAGTCATGCCTCCAAAGTTCCCGAGGCTGATCGAAACAGATCGGGCCCCGTGCCTCGCTAGGAGCTCCTGCGAAACAAAAACACACACACACACACACACACAGACACACACACACAAACACACACACACACACCACACACACACACACACACACACACACACACACACACACACACACCCACCCCCACCCGCCCACCCCCCCACCCCACCCACCCACCCACACACCCACCACCCACCCACACCCACAACCCACCCACCCACCCACCCACCCACCCACCCACCCCACCCACCCACCCACCCACCCACCCACCCACGCACGCACGCACGCACGCACGCACGCACGCACGCACACACCTACGTGCGTATCAGATCTGTGTGGGAAGAGCACATGCAGTCCTTAAGAGGCGAGTACTGCCACATGAGCGATCTCCCGGGGTTCTCGATCACATAGAAGACTCCGAAACAAGTACTCGAGCCTGTAGTCCAGATTTGGCTACTCAATGTAAGTGTTATAGTGCTGATGAACTCTATAGGACGGTGTAGCTGGGTATCGAACAGGTATACCATCCGACGGACAAGCCGATTGGGCATGACAACTTTCTTGAAGGATCTTGTTCCTGACATGGCAATAACAAAACAGTCTGTCAGCTTCGAAAGAGCCAGCATGACTAGCCAAGCCTCCAGGTCTCAGCCGATGTCGTTTGGAGCTATGCCTCGACCTTGCAACTGGGAAAAATTCAGAACGAACACTAAAAGGTTCGGGTAAGGTAAGGTAGTGGCATCCATACCCACGACTTGCAGGGTGGTGCAAGCCAATGGCATCCACCAATTCTGGTGGTCCTCGCCTGACAATATAGCTATCCGTGGCCAAGTCTGATTATCTGCACATGAACTGCATGTTGTGATAAGAACCCGGCAGCATTCATGGCTAAAAGGAAGCCGAACGAAGTGAGGATATCCATACGTTTCGAGTACAGGACCTGTGCGAGAAAATCAGAATCCAACATAAGGCCGATCTGTTGGTCAGCTGGGCACCGGACATCGAACATCCTCGCACGGAATCCATAGGACCGCACCACGTTGGTGAGCTTGTGCATACCTGTGCAGAGGGTATTTCGGCTATTGATTAGAGGCAGAACCTGTGTACATCAGGCCTGCAAAATGTTCATGAAAGTCATAGATCTCTTCTTCCCCAGGCTCGCCGAAGCCTCAGGAAACCAAGCTAGCAGAAGCTCCGAATCTATGCTATGGCCTGCATTATAAGGTTCCTGGTATACTGGGCCATGCGTTCAAAATCAATCTGCGTAGGGATCTACCTATGGGCACGAGTCCATGTATGTATGATTTTTGCATCTCGTCCGTAGATATTGATAGAGAGAGAGATAGATAGATAGGCAGACAGCCAAACAGACTCAGAGAGAGAGAGAGAGAGAGAGAGAGAGAGAGAGAGAGAGAGAGAGAAACAACGAAACAACAATGGAAGGCAGAACGGGGAGATGCGAACAGTCACATACAAGAGTTATTTCATTCTGATCCGAGGAACTGCGCAGCAGCGATGCGACGATGAAGGCAAGTCGCGAAAACTGCATCGGTCCTGTTCGGGATGATGCTACGTGTAGGCTGAGCAAGTTATCTCGATCAGCAATGATCATATGTGTATGCACAGAGTCCTCGTATCGTAGCTTTAAAGGGCCGACGACAAACAAACAAAACTGCTGCGGCCACACATGGGGTTCAGTCTCACAGATTGCACATGTGCCAGATGCATGAGTGGGGCTTGCAGGCTCAGACACACTCATGCTTTTAGGCGCAAGCTTCTCGCAAAATGTCTGGATTGATCGGCCAAGCCCCCCTGCCCCCTTGAGGCCACTGGACACTCGATCTTCGAATCTGAGGCGGCTTGTCTGGGCTTGCCTTGCCACATAGATTAGTTTTGTCAATGAGGGATACCGGGGTATAGATATCCTAGAGAATCCAGCTGGCTGGTATCCAAGCTCAACCCCCGCAGTGCGGGCCGATGCAAGAGGCACTGACGCAGGCAGTGCACGTAAAGACTCCGACCTATAAGAAGCAAGGAATGCCCCGAAACCCCTAAAGTGCCCGTATTGCTCATACTCGTGTCAATACCTCCTGCGCTTGATCTCTGTTTCAGAGAGCGACGAGAGAACCTTGGCATAAGAATCACTGGCCTTCCTTTTCGCCTCGATCTCTGCCTTGGTGCCGGCAGTCCTCGGGACGGGATATCAGGTTGCTTATTCTCAGCATTGGGACAGATAGATTGCAATCAAGGTACTTATCCATGAAACTGTACTTCCTTTTCAGGTACTCTGTCTTCGGTTCCTTCCTCTCCTTCTTCTTGGACTTCGCCCCACTTTGGGGCTCCTTTGCCTCGGTGGCCTTTTTGGGCCCTGTCTTCTTAGCAGCTTCCTTAGCTTTCTTCTCCTCACGCTTCTCCACAACCAACAATCTCTGCGCATGTGCATGCGCCACTGTCTTGGCCCTCGCAAGGCAAGCCGTGGCAACCTTCGTCGAGATGCCGTCGCCCACGACATCCTGATCAAGCTTGGCAGCATTAAGGGTTTATCGAGTATTGAAAGCAAAACACTTCAAAGGCACCTCGGGCTTTGTGGTCCGCTCGGCTTCGACCTGCGTAGCAAGTACCGTTTACACTGCGAAAAGATGATCAATACCTTGCTTGGGCCTTCTCGGGCTTCGGGTCCTGCGGCTTGTTTTCGACCTGCTTGGCGGGCTTAGGGTTTCATAGGGCAGGTACAGGTTCATAGGCTTAATCTTTTAGGGGTTTGAGGTGTCTTAGGATATCAGAATGCAATCAGGATTTGAATGCGACCTCGACCTGCTCGGACATCTTGTCACGGTCGTTTTCGACCTGCACAGTGGGCTTATGGTGGGGTCTCGAAGGGGCGAACCCTTTATTTTCCGTTCGAAAATGGTTTTGAAACTTTTGTTTTAAAACCAAGCATGTTTGTTTTCAGTCGCTTCAATGTGTTGCCTTTGCGAACACTTGTTGTGCTGAAACATTTCCCTCTTCAAGGGAGGGAGGGCGGGAAACCCGTGTACATTCACCAATGTGTGTTTTGTGCATGGGGGTGTAGCGTAGTGTAGAGAAGGTGCTCAGAGCACTCGGAGGGGGGGGCCATGGCAGATAGTCCAGAGCCTCAAGGTGCCAGGAGCAGACCTTTCTCTGGTCTTGGGGTCGCTTGGGGCGACGGCCAGTCAAGTGTGTCCGATCTGCCTGAAACAGGGATGCCTCAGGAACTTGTCCCCACGGGACCTTCGTCAAGCGATTTGCAGGCTGCAACCTTAGACGATTGGTTAAAGGAAGTCTCTCTTGATGACCATGTCTCTGCAAGTAGCGTCGCGGAGCCAGCAAGAGTTGCCGCCAGTGAGAGTGGTGAGCCGAGTGTCGCGGCGACCGCCGTTTTGTCTTCTAGGGAGTATGCGGCTCATCTACGGAGTTCCCACCTGAGCCTGCAAGATGCCACGCCGAAGTTCTTTTGGGAGCAGGGTTTCTGGTCCGATTTCTTTGGCCCTGCTTCAGTGCCAGAAACCATCATGCCGAGATTCAAGGACAGGCGGCCCGATCCTTATCACTTGCCTTTGCCAGAGCCTGTCGAGATTGGGCAATCACAATCTTCAAAGAAGCCACGTCGAGAGTTCGCTGCAGTCTTCCAGCAAGTGGTGGTTCAGCGACAGGTGATTTCTTGGAGGGATGCGCGTGAGGCCTCCTTTGAAACGGCCATTGTGAAATGGGTTGCTCTGTTTGGGTCATGGGATTCTAACAAGGATGAGTCTCTGGATGGCTTTGCACTGTTGTCTGAGCTTGAACAGAGGAAAGTCATTGATGATAGCATTGCACGCAAAGCCCCTTCGACTGCCTTGAAAAGGGCCAACTCGCTGATCAAACTCACGAAGTTGGCAGGAGCCGCACACATTGCCATGCCCGCCTCCGAAGGTGAGATCTATATCATTTTGAACGATGCCAAGTCGGGAGGGGCCCCATTATCCCAGCTGCGGGGGTTTATGGAAGCCATTACCTTCTCGAGACACGTCTTCGAAATCAGGTGCCTGCATCTAGTCAGTGTCAGCAAAAGGTGTTGGGGTGTCACCGTTGCCAGGGTTGCAACTCCTGCAAGACAGGCTGACCCCCTGCGGGTCAAGGACCTCAGAGAGCTTCATAGGGTGTTGGATGAGGTGCCAGACCCCTGGGACCGTTGCTTCGCTGGCAGCGCGCTGTTTTGCGCGTACGGCCGTTGCCAATGGTCGGATTCGCAGCACTTGGATGATATTGCACTTGAATATGAAGAGGGCTCCGACTCTCCGCTCGCCTTTGTAGGAGGTGTCATTGACATTCATAAAACAATGAACCTGCAGGGTCAGCAGCCTCGTGTCCTTGAAATCGTTGCTCAGGGTATCTACGAAGGTGATTGGGCCATGAAGTGGCTCGCTGCAAGGGCCGAAGTAGGCTGTGCCTGGTCGCAAGGTCATCCGACCATGCCTGCACCCAATCATCTGGGAGAGCCTACTGTCAGGGCTCTTGGCAGTGACGAGTGTGGTGCCTGGCTCAGGGCTCTCTTGCCGACGAGGCTGGACATGAGAACAACTTCGCATTCCTTGGAAAGCAACCTTCTTGAGCTATTGTGCAAAGAGGGGAATGAGCCATCTTGACAGACTTGCGTTGGGAGGGCACTCACATGGAGCAAAGAGTGCTGACACTTATGCAAGAGATGCCCTGGCTCGCCCGTTGAGGTTGCTCCAAGGTGTCATCAGAGAGATTCGTATGGGCGTCTTCGTGCCGGATGCCAACCGTGCTGGCAGGCTCATTGACAATTCTGAGACTTCGGAGTTTGCACAGGAACTGGGCCGTGAAGTCCCGAGAGCCTTTGAAGACAGCAGGGCCTCTTCCTGCCCGGCCCAAAGACGAGGTTGTATCGTTGAGTTCATTTGAGCCGTCACCGTCACAGCATGCTGGGCCCGCTTCTGAGTCTCAGGAGCACGAGGGAGATTTATCGGAGGCCGATGATGGAGAGTCGAGCAGCAAATCGAGCTCGAAATCTTCAGTTGAGGGCACCACCAGCTCAGATTCGGATGCAAGCTCCAGTTCTGAAGAGGATGGTCCAGGCCCCCGGATTCCGCAGTTCGTCCCGCGCCTGCCAGAGCCTCCTGATGGTTTCCGGTTTGTGCAACACGCAAAGTTGAAGACCTTGCATTATGTCATGCAGGGCCACTTGAACTTCACAGTTTGCGGACGGCGCATTACGGATTCGCTCACGGGATCCTTATCGCTCAAGTGGGACAGCCCGGTCTGTCGAAATTGCAAGAAGTCCGTAGGGCCACTCAAGTAGGGTACATTGTGAACCTTAAGTGCGACGGAAAAGAGTGAAGCAACGTTGCGAAGTGCAGACAGTCTTTCTTGAGTCATTCGAGTGTGTCTTGTCTCTGAGCAAGCCGCTTAGTTGGCCTGATTCACGTGGGTTCTTGACTGCTCAGGTTCCATGCTCGCTGCGACCCCTGTCACATCATGCTCAAGCTTTTGACGGAGTGTTGAAGGAAGGGTGTCACAACGCGTGGCGTCATGTCGTTGATTGATTCAAAAGCTGAGTTCGAGAGCAGATGCAAGGATGTCTGTGGAAGCAGCGCGCTCCTTGAGAACTTACGAGCGAAAGGGATCGAGAGCTTTTCGAGTTTGGCTTTTGCTTGCGGCACTCCCCAAACGCCTCCAACAGAGACAGAGTTTACGTCATTCGCTGAGAACGTGTGTGGACCCGCAGTCGCCTTGGGAACTGCTGCCCAGCTTAGAAGGCTTCATTTTGAGGCTATCACACTTGTTGTGGCGCAGTTGAAACAGCAGGCAATTGCAGATCCGGCCGAGGCGGTCAAGAAACTGCCTTTGGCAGAAAAACAGGCCCGCATCGAAGATCAACGACGCAGGCTCCATGGGCTCTTGTTGGAGGACGAGTTGCAGCCTTCGCATGCACTAATCGATGCATGCGCGCACATGATTGAGCAGAATCACATAACATGGGTCCCGCCATCGAAGTGCACGAAGAGGGACCAGGAGTTGCGAGTTGGGTTCAAGGACAAATCCAAGTTCCGTGTTGCTGCTGAGGGTGGTGTCACTCTTGCATCAGCACCCACCGTGTTGACGGCCGATCATCAGACTCCTCTGCAGCTCCAGTGGTGTCTGCAAAGGCGAGGTCTTGCGCTCGACCTCAACAACATCATCGGCTGGACCTCGCACGAAAGGTGGGTCTCATATCTGATGCAGACTCTCGCTCAGGAGGTTCCGGCAGGTTACCACAGTGTCACCGTCGACCAGCTCTTGAAGGCTGATTGTGAGCTTTTCCTTTTGATATCGAAGGAGACAAAGCGAGTCAAGGTCGGGTCTGATGGCACGATGGAAGCTGAGGTCAAGCTAAATCAGCTGAAAACCGACTCGAGGGTGACAATGCATCTGCTGCCAATCCGTGGCGGTGGAAAACCAAGTGGCTCCCAAGCCATCGTTGAAGTGCCAGTTCTTGATGATGCAAATGCCCGCCTCAAGAAGAGGAGGACCCTTGATAAGAGGCGAGGGCTCATGGCCCCGGTTAAGACCGCAACGATGCCCCAGGAGCTGAAGGCATGTCCGCATCACACTGATTCTGCAGGACGGCGTGCATGCTGGGGATTCAATCTTGGCCGGTGCTCCCTTGCAACTCAGGGATCACCGCCTACATGCCAGAAAGGCGTCCACATCTGCGTGACATGTCGCAAGCCGGGGCATGGGCATTTTCAGTGTTGGCATGCTGGCAAAGGCAAGGGTGCCGGTAAAGGTAAGAAAGGTGCAAAGGCCGCCGCGGAGGCGGCAAATGAGTCGTGACTAGGCAATTTGCCTGACAGTGCACGAAGCAGGACGCCTTTGAAGGCGACGGATGCCGAAACTTCCGGCTCCTTCTCTTGCATAATTCAGAACCCAAGTCGAGAAATTACGTCACGCGACCTGTCCTCAAAGGACGCTCGCACTTCGAAAGATGATTGCCAGTCCGCTGACCACCATCCGGTTGATCGCGACAAGCATACAACACCGCCTAATGCCAGCAATCCCGTTGATGCTGCTTCATCGTGCAGCTCCGGGTTGCTTGAGCCTGCTGCTCATTTTGAGCACGCACATACCAATGCCGAGAACAAAATTTTTCACTTCCCGCCAGAAGCTCAGTCAGACGGGGGTGGATCCGACGAGTCGGATAGGATTGCTTGCCAGATTCTTGCGGCTGGGCAATGCACTGCTTTGCAACTGCTCCAGCTCATGGCCTCACTGCCTAGTGAAGACATGGCCCGAAGCTCCGGCACGGTCGGCACTGAGAAGTCTTTTACTAGTGGTGCGTATGGGCAGGGCCCCTTAGTTGGCCTGCGAAAGCACATAAGCAGCCATGCCCATGTCACCAGACTTCTGGTAAAATTGGCAGTGCAGTTCTTTCCAGCTTTGACTTTTACAACAGTGGCCTTGTTTCGTGATGTCCAAACAACTCGACATTCGGACAAAGGCAATTTGCCGGGTTCTCTGAATGGCGTAGCTGCGCTGAGCAGCTTCTCAGCCGGGCATATCAAGTTGCACACTTCAGATGGCGAAAGAATCCTCGATGTGGCCACTTGCCCGGTTTTGTTTGATCCAGTCGTGGAGCACGAAACTTGCTCTTGGGAGGGCACCCCCGCCTTGTGCTGGTTGCATTCTCCGTGAATCGGCTTGATCTCATGTCAGCTGAGGATACTGCCTCGCTGCTTAATTTGGGGTTTCCTCTTCCCGCCGTAGGTTCCCCTTCGGTTTCCCATAGGTCGCTGCCCAAAGTTACATCAGCTATGGCTGGTGACCGAGGCCTTGTGTTGCATTTCTTCGCTGGCCCTGCGCGTCTTGCTCAGTCCTTGCAAAAGAATGGCTTCGACGTCTTGGCCTTCGATCGCGGCACTGCCCGAGCCCATTTTCCAGTCCAGTCTATTGACTTGTGTGACCTGCAGGACCGAAATCTTTGCTGCAGCATTTTGACCGAACAGGCCGACCGCATTGAGCTCGTTTTCTTGTCGCCGCCCCTGCTGTCTTCGTGCAGTGATTCAGATCCACTCGCAGTGGCAGTGGCAACTGTTGTTCAGCATGCAGTCGAACTTGGACTAAGAGTGTGCATTGAAAGCCCAATGAAATCAGCTTTGTGGACCCACTCTGCCACGGCTGCTCTCTTCGCTTCAGGTCTGTTCAAGGACGTTCGTTTCGACTTGTGCATGCATGGAGGGCATCAGAACCGTCGAGTCCGCTTCAGCTGCAACTCTGATATTTTTGAGCCTCTTGCCTTGCTTTGCAACCGTTCACATAAACATGCGTCGGATGCCATGTTGCATCCTATGGATAAAGGTGCATACCCTTGGCTCCTTTGCCATCGCATTTCTGATCTGCTGCTTCAGCAGACGACCTCACGGGCGCCGCCGACATCTTTGCGCGGCCCCACTCCTACCGACTTGCGTGTTGCTTTGGATCGCCAAGGCAAGTATCGACGACCTCTTGTTTCAGAAGTTAAAAGTTATGATGCTTGGGCTTTCTCTCCTGAGCTTGAGGCCGAGAGATCTCAGGTCCTAGCTTTGTACCCGAAAGGTGCTGGCATTGTCCGACGCAAACTCTGTAAGGGGGGCGCCGTCCGTGTTTGCCATCGGCCACTGCTGTCAGATTCTGGGCTCCCTGACAGGATGTTCGAGGACTGGGTCATTGGACCTGGTTCCGTTGAGAAGCATTTGCCTAGTGGGGTTGTTAGTGTTTGTGGCATGCGAAGGGCCCGGCACTCGGTGGAAAATCAGACGGTCGAAGTGGCTTGGATTGGCATCCCGCGTGAACCTCTTGACTTTCTTCGAGAGGCGGTCAAAGTGGGGCATCCCAAGTCTTTCTTGGACCAGGACGAGCCCAGCATAGAGCGTCTCGTGGAGAATTTGCTAGGTAATGATTCGGTCGAGTCTAGTGTTCAACTCCTAGACGAGTGGCAAGCTTTGCAAGTTGAGCTGGAGCCGTACGAACAAGGTTTGAGGCTTGCATGGCCCGCTCACGTGCAAAACATCCTTCGAGACAAGAACACTGAACTCTTGAAGCGCCTTCTGTGCAAGCACGGATATCCGGATCATAAAGTTGTCGATCACATGCGTGAGGGCTTCCGGTTGTCAGGCTGGATGTTCCGGACAGGTGTTTATCCGGCCGAGGCCCGACCTCCTTCGGTCAGCATGGAGAGGCAACTTGCTACAGCTAGGTCTAGGAATCTCTCGACTTTAGCCAAACTGCGAGCGCAGCCTTGCGATGAGGTTACGAGTCGAGCTTGGGAAGAGACCAAAGCTGAGCTCGAACGGGGATGGATATTCGAGGCCCCATGTTGCCAGGACAATTGCATTTCTGAGGGCTCCCAATCGGGACGTCCAGCCAAAGATTTTACCGGATGCTTTGGCATAGGAGGTGTTTTGATTGCACGACGGTTTGGGATTTTGCAGTCTCTCAAGGTGCGGGTCATTGACGATTGCAAAGCCTCGGGATACAACCAGACCACTGGTCTCCCTGAGCGCTTCCGTCTCCACGGCCTTGAGTTCTTGAGTGCCTTCTTGTCAAAGCCATGAGGGACGCCAGGTCAAGAAGCATACCGATCCTTGGCAGGACGTGCGACCTCTCTTCTGCATACAAACAGTATGCGGTGCACACTGATGATCGAAATACATTGCGCATCGGAGCCAAAGACACCGAATCAGGGTCGGTCCGCTTCTTCGGTGTGAACTCACTGCCGTTCGGGGCCACAGGTTCTGTTGCAGGATTCTTGTGGACGGCGGCTGCAACCTGGTTCTTGGGAGCTCAGGTTTTGAGGCTTGCTTGGGGTTGTTACTTTGACGATTACCCTTGTCTGTGCAAAGCTAAGTTGTCCGATGACGTGAGCAGCATCGTTCATCGATTCTTCGGGCTCCTTGGCATCGTCTATGCAACGACAGGGAAGAAAGCAGTTGAGTTCGCTGCCCAGTTCAAAGTATTGGGTATTATTGAATTATTGTCGACCTCTCTTCTTTCACCGATGGTACGGTTCTGCTTAAACATACTGAAGAAAGGATTGCTACTCTGTCCACTGCAGTCCAAGAAGTGCTTGACCGGGATGCGATCAGTCAGACTGAGGCAGACCGCCTGCGTGGCAGGATGCACTGGTTCTCTTCTTTCCTGTTTGGACGCAGATCATGCTTGGCTTTGCAAGTCTTGAGCCGTCGCGCCAGAGGGTTCGGATGTTCTAAGAAGCTTGATCCTGAGTTGCGACAGGCCCTGATCTACTTGAAGGATGTTTCGTTGCAGGCTGAACCCATTTCCCTTAACAGGCACATGGGTCGCACGTACATCATCTTCACTGACGGTAGTCTCGAGGGCCCGACTGCTAGTCTGGGTGGTGCGTTGTTTGATGGGAGTGGTTCAGCACTCTCTTACTTCAGCCTTGATCTCCCGGATCGGGTCTTGAACAAACTTCGCGAAACCTCCAAGCATCCTATATACGAAATTGAGATGCTTGCAGTGTGGGCTGCTCTGGCCATCTGGTCGGAGCAGTTGGCCAATACTTATTCCGTTCTGTACATCGATAACGAAGCTGCTCGAGGAGCATTCACTTCTTGCAAATCCGGTACTTTGCCGGGGGGCACGATCCTTGAGGCTTGTGTCACGCTCGAAGAAACATCGAGGTGCAGGTTATGGTTTGGGAGAGTGCCAACGTCAAGCAACATTGCAGACAATCCCAGTCGAGGTGATTGCAGTCAGCTTGTGGCAATGGGAGCGTCTCGATCCGAGTTGCTGCATCCGTTCCCGCTTTGACACTGCTTACAAGTGGGGCGGTGGTGCTGTGTCACGCATTGCTGTCTTGGAGTGGTGGCATGCCGTTCATTCGGCTCCGCCCTTCAGCAGCATGCCATGCATACGACGAGACTGTTAACCCCTGTGCCCGTTTCGAGAACAAAATGAAGGTGCGCGAGTGATTGTCTGCATTGCAAGTTGAGTGATTGCATCTTTGACTTCGCAACATGTTCACTCCATGCTTGCTCCCATGTTCTCTCTTTCTTACATGCGGTTTTCGATTAAGGAAAATAAAGGGCTTTCTGTGTTGAAGGGCGCAAGAATTTGGGATTTCAAAAATACAATCAGGATGTAGGTTTGAAGCCTCCGGGGCGACGGTACTACTTGGGCAATGATCATACCATTCGACGGGCTTAGCTTATAGGACTTGCCTGGTCTAGGATCTTCGCGGGATTTTTACGGATCTTATTTGGGTCTTCGGGGCCGCATTCTTGGGCTTCCTCGCGAGGTACCTTGCTTACAACCTGCATGGGGAGTTCATAGAAGGCTCGTAACGTTTTTCTTGCGTATTTATAGTGCCAGGGAGAACCCTTAGTAGAGTGCCGAGAATTCCTATCGTAGTGTTATTTGGCCTCCGGGATCGCATGCTCGGGCTGGGTGTGCTCGGGCTGCTCGTTAACGACCTTTGCAGCATCGTCTTCCTAGCCAAACCACACTACCAATACCTTGCTTGGCCCACTTGGCCCAACTTGGTATCCCAGGCAGAATGCTCCGGCTCCGCAACGTGGTGGGGCACCTCGACTCAACTTGATCTGCGCGGCGGGCTTCTAGGGTCCTATACGATCTATAGGTTCCGGGACAACTAGGAGGTACGGTACTACCACGACTCAAAAATCTTAAGGCTTTATAATATCATATATATAAGGAGTAGGCAGAAGAACTAGGATACCAAGCAAACCTAACTAGGATACCAGTTCTAAGCTTACAACCCCAAACCCTAAAGGCCAAACCTACAGGTTTTTAAGTCTTTTAGGGTTTAGGTTGCGGGCTTTAATACCTAAAACCCTAAAGCCCCTAACCCTACAGCCAGACCCCCAGGGTTTTATGTACTAAAGCCCCAACTTAAACCCTAATGCTCTTAAAACCCTGGGGGTCTTAGCTTTAAGGTAAGGGTTTAGGGTTTAGGGTTCTTAGGGTTTAAGGTTTAGGGCTTAGGGTTTAAACCCTAAACCCTAAACCCCAAACCCTAAACCCTAAAGCAAGACCCCAGGGTTTAAGTTGGGGGGTTTACTTAATTGGGTCCTTAGATTTTCAGGCTCAAGGGCTTTCAGTCATCATATATTTAATATCTAGTTACATTTAATCATCATCATTGTCCTTCATGATATATTACTTATTTCATCATCATCAACATCATCATCACCATCATCAACATCACATCGGCGCTGCTGGTGCGGCGGCAGCCGCTGTGCCCGGCCTGCGAAGGCCGGGGGGGTGGGGGGTGGGGAAGGGCTTGGGGTTTTTCGGGATTTCGAGGGGCTCTGTGCTTTTTGGTATTTGGGAGTTTCCGAAATCAGGGGATGCCAGTAGAATACCCTAGGATCCTGATTGTAAGGACACCTCATATATTATTATAAAGACCCTTAAATAATTTATGGTACCCCTGATTTTCGGAAACTCCCATTTAAGTGTAAGAGGACAGTTTTGGGTTTGTTTGGGTCTAGAGTTGAGGGTTTTGGGGGTTTACAAGATAAGGTTGGGTTTACAGTGTAAGGTTTACAGTCGTAAGGTATTTAGGTGTAGGAGTCTATTAGGTATTGTAGGCTCGTGGGTTTGTTTGGGTCTAGGAGTTTGGGTGTAAGAGTTTATTAGGTCGGTATCGCAGGGTTTTGGTTTTGTTTGGC